CGAAGAATGTTGTGCTCGAGGCTCGAGAAAAACTAAAGCAATTGAGGCACGATCGTTCCATCTTGGAGTATGTCAAAAAACTTCACTGAGATCAAGATGCAAATCCCGGACTTGGGCGAGTTAGAATGGTACTTTGCATTCATGGATGGACTACAACGTTGGGCCAACATGGAGATCCAGAGGAGGGGAGTGACTGAACTCTCCAAGGCATTGGATGCAGCCGAGGCCATTGCCCCGTTTGAAGTAAAGAACACCGACACTCTCCAATCCAAGCCAAAACCCAAAGGTAATAGTGGGGGAGAGAAAGCCAAAGGAAGCTTTCACAAGCCAACTGGAAATCATGGGAAGCCGAATGATCGACCCAAAAAGCTATTCAATCCTTGGGAGAAAAGGGGTGAACTATCATGCTTCAGTTGTGGAGGAAATCACATAAAAATAGATTGTCCTTAACTTGTGTGAAAGTTGCTGCCATCAAGGAGAATGATGGGGTGGAGAGTGAGACTCTCAAGCTTGGCTCTATCCTTAGCACCATGAAGGTCAAGAATGGCCGCAAGAAGAAGGGATTGATGTACGTAGACATCACTATGGCTGGCCAAAAGATGAGTGCACAAGTGGACACTGGTGCCTCAGAATTGTTCATGTCCGAACAAATTGCTAAGAGACTTGGCCTTCATGTGGAGAAGGCAACTGGTTCCATCAAAACCGTGAATGCCGAAGAAGTTCCAATTGCGGGGGTCGCAAAGGGAATCGAGCTAACCGTTGGAGGTTGGTCCGGAAATGAAGCCATCAAGGTAATCTATCCGATGACTTCGACTTTGTTCTTGGGTTAAGTTTCTTGGACCGAATAAATGCTTTCCCAGTGCCTTTTACTGATTGCTTGTGCATCCTGGACCCAAAACAACAATACATTGTTCCAGTGAGCCGATGGCCCGGAATCGATGCCAGAATGTTATCCGCAATCCAAATCTCAAAGGGGGTGCGCAAGGAGGAACCCACCTTTGTGGCTTCATTGGTGGGAACTGAACCTACAATGACCGATGAAGTCCCAAGTGAAGTGGGACAAGTATTGGCAGAGTTTAGGGATGTGATGACAAATGAGTTACCACAACATTTGCCACCGAAGAGAGAGATGGACCACAAGATAGAGCTTGTGCCAAATGCGGAGCCACCCGCCAAGACACTATACCGAATAGCCCCACTGGAGTTAGAGGAGCTTCACAGACAATTGAAAGAGCTCCTAGATGCTAGATACATTCGACCGTCAAAGGCACCCTTTGGGGCACCGGTGCTATTCCAAAAGAAACATGACGGCTCCCTAAGAATGTGCATCGACTATCAAGCTTTGAATAAGCTCACTGTGAAGAACAAGTACCCGATCCCGTTAATTGTTGACTTGTTCGATCAACTTGGTGGTGCAAGGTGGTTCACCAAGTTAGATTTACGGTTTGGATACTATCAAGTTCGGATAGCGGAAGGCGATGAACCGAAGACTGATTGCGTGACACGTTACGGTTCATATGAGTTCCTTGTTATGCCCTTCGGCCTCACTAATGCCCCTGCAACCTTTTGTACGCTAATGAATAAGGTACTATAACCCTTTCTTGATCGTTTTGTTATAGTTTACCTTGATGACATTGTTGTGTATAGTAAGACCTTGGAAAAACACGTTGAACACTTGAGAAGGGTGTTCCAAGTCTTACGAGAGAACGAGCTTTATGTCAAGGAGGAAAAATGCTCGTTTGCGCAAAAGGAAGTGTCGTTCCTAGGCCATATTATTGGAGGCAAGCTCTAGATGGACAAAGACAAGATCCGGTCGATTGATGAGTGGAAGCCACCCTCCAAGGTAACTGAATTGAGAGCATTCTTGGGATTAGCCAACTAATAACGACGATTCGTGAAGGGTTATTCCAAGATTGCCACGCATTTGACCGAGCTACTAAAAAAGGATAAGGTGTGGGAATGGAGCACGAAATGCCATGACGTTTTTTAAAAGCTCAAGGAGGCCATGGTGAATGAGCCCGTGTTGGTGCTACCAGACTACACCAAGCCTTTTGTAGTTTTCACCGATGCGTCCAATGTTGCCATTAGTGGAGTCCTTATGCAAGAGGGACATCTGGTTGCTTACGAGAGTCGGAAGCTCAATGAGACCGAGAGGAGGTACTCGGTTCATAAGAAGGATATGACAACAGTTGTACACTGCTTGCGGACATGGCGATACTACTTGCTTGGGTCCAAGTTCGTGGTGTTCACGGACAATGTTGCCAACAATTATTTCCTCACCCACAAGAAGTTGTCTCCCAAACAGGCTCGTTGGCAAGAGTTTCTTGCGGAGTTCGACTTTTCCATGGAATACAAGCCAGTGAAGGTGAACTATGTTGCAGATGGATTAAGCCGAAGGTACACCATCGAGACTGTTGAAGAGACCTTGCTCGAAAGAATCAAAGAAGGGTTACCCCATATCCTACAACCGAACGAATTAATGAAGGAGCTAAGGAGGGGTGAACCAGAGAGTTTTGGCTCGAGGGGGAACTACTGTACTATCGAGGAAATCGACTCTTTGTACCTCGATATGTGAAGTTACGCAAGGAGCTCATGAAGGAATGCCATGAATCCAAGTGGGCGGGACATCCTGGAGTTGATCGAACTTTGGCATTACTCTCGGAGCAATACTATTGGTCGCACATGGTTGAAGATGTGCTGGCCTATGTGAAGAATTGTCTTGTGTGCCAGCAAGAAAAGATCGAGGCAAAGAAACCGGCGGGATTGCTACAACCTTTGCCCATTCCTGAGCGCCCATGGGAGAGTATTTCCATGGATTTTATCATTGGTTTGCCCAAAACTGATGGACTTTCAAGTATAATGGTTGTGGTTGACAGGTTTTCAAAGTATGCGACGTTCATACCCGCGTCTAAGGTGTGTCCAGCTATAGAGGCCGCTCGACTTTTCCTCAAGCACGTGGTAAAGTATTAGGGAATGCCGAAAACCATCATTATTGACCGGGTCACGCGGCTCACAGGGAGGTTCTAGACGGAGTTGTTCAAACTGATGGGATCGAGCTTGAACTTTTCCACCGCAGTTCATCCACAAACTGATGTGCAAACTGAGCGAGTGAATGCTCTATTAGAGATCTATCTGAGGCACTACGTGAGAGCCAACCAACGAGACTGGCCAAAGCTGTTGGATGTGGCCCAATTTTCCTACAACTTGCAACGGAGCGAGGCGACAAACCAAAGTCCGTTCGAGATCGTGACCAGGAAACAACCGTTGACACCCAACACGGTTGTTACCAAGTATGAAGGGCCCAATCCATCAGCACACAACATTGCCAATGAGTGGCACGAGCAACACGTCTTAGCCCGAGCTTGTTTGTACAAGGCGGGAAAGCGGACCAAGAAGTGGGCTGACCGAAAGCGGAGGGACGTGAACTTTGAAGTTGGCGACCTTGTCCTTGCAAAGTTGGCCAATGTTTTACGCCATGCGGATGTGCACAAGGGGTTTGTGCGAAGATATGAGGGTTCATTCCGAGTCGTGAAGCGGGTAGGCACCATGGCCTACAAATTGGAATTGCCTCCAACCATTCGAGCGTATCCCGTTATCCATATAAGCCTACTCAAGCCGTACCATCAGGATGCTGAGGATCCGGATCGAGTCAAGTCTCACCGAGCGCCAGTTGGAGTAGCGGTCTCCTATGACAAGGAGATCCAAGATATACAGGCGGAGAGAGTTATACGAAGGCCAGGACACCGCCCGAGGCATGAGTACTTTGTCCTATGGAAGGGATAACCCGAGTGCGAAGGGAGTTGGGAACATGCCGAGGGACTTTGGCAATTCAAAAACAGAATAAACCAATTTCATGCCAAACGAGTGACGAGGGCGTCACCGAAACCAGTGGGGGAGAATGTCATGGACCAAAGCCCACCACCTAGGTTAGCCCATGAGAAGTAGCCCAAATGGGGGCTTAGACCTTCTAGAAGCCACAAAGACTTTGGTGACATTTAAATTTGTATAGATAATGCCCACTTGTTTTTGATAGGTAGGATTTAATCTCAACCATCGATGTAATTAGATCTTAGCCGTTCATTGAGGGGAGCTTTAGCTATAAATAGAGGTCTCCCCTCCTCATTTGTACTCACTCCTCCACTTTGAGAAATCATAAGAGCATTCTTCTCTCAAAGCTTTCTTATCTTCCTTTTTGTGCTAGTTCTCTTGTCTAGCTTCCAGGGATATTTTCAGGCTTACTTAGCCGTAATCACTAAGAAGGCGACTAAGGTCGCACGTTCCGAGGTGTCGAAGTTCCAAGGGCGTGACAATATGCTTTACTCAAGCATCTTAAAAACTACGAAGTGGCTTGAATTCAGCTTTATCGTCCAAAACTTCATTAATATGATTGTTTCTCATAAGTTTTCAGGGTCATCTTCTTTTTATGATCATTGATTAATTTCCTGAAGAAGTGTCATACAAATTCAAACTCTTGGTGAATAAATGATGTTTCTAATTCCTCACCAACGGTAAAACACTGTTGCCGATAACAAATATGTTTCTATCATTATACAAAAACTGGTGAATTGCAAAACTTGTTTAAGAATGAAGAAATGATCCGCATATCACGCCAAACCATATGATAGCGACGAATAATTTGTAGGGTACGTTTTTTGTTTATTGCCATGGGCGTGTAGCTCGACAATTCGGTGTGGAAACCTTGAAACTTTGATTCTACTGTTGCTTTGAAAAGTACAAGCATGACTTTGCCTTATCTGGGAAGATAACTAAGCTAAGTCCGTTTGGAAGGTAATTTATTATACAACTGTCAGGAACATTGCAAAGCATAATAATAGAAAATGGGAACTACTGCATTTTCATCCTCCGAATCCATGATCCAAAAGTAAGAGACGGAGGAGATGATAATATCATATAATAACATATATCATACTGTACACCATAAAATGGTAGACACTAGGACCTAAAGGGACGGTCTACCACACTTGGAAAATAGTATATGGAAAGGTTCAAGGCTGTGAAGAATGGGTTAAACTAGCGAATCAATGCCACTGGCATGGAGTAAAATGTAAAGACTATAGAGAAAGGGGAAGAAATGTAGAGAAAGGGGAAGAAATGTGGAGAAAGAAGAAAGGAATGGCGGACATCCTATGGACATAGTTCTATGGAGCCATAGTCAAACAGCTTCTCAATCATTTGTTCAATGTGATACTCTTCGAGAGATTTGAACGGTTGGGTTCTTTCTACCTGAGCGTTTTTGACAACCCAATTGTTTTTTGTGTCTTGAACTGGCAATGGTCTCTTCTCCAGCAGGCGAACTCCCGTTCCACCGTCTCTACATGACAGACCATTGTTGCTGATGATATCTGGAGTGGGTGGCTCATTTTTTTGCTTCTGTAGTGATTGCCGTTTGGTCATTTGAAGTGAAGCCATGTAGCATTTATGCAGTTTAGCTCTCAAAGTTGCTGACAGTAGCTTGGACGATGAAGACTGAGGTGAATTCGGATTATAAGGGAAGTTTGTTCTAGGCCTCGGTCCACATATAAGCCTTGCAGCTTCGTCGTAGGCGTGAGCCGCGTCTTCTGCCGTTTCAAATGTTCCCAGCCAAATTCTAGTTTTCCTGCACAAACGGAACGTTGGGAGTCAGTACACATGCTTGAATAGTTCAAAAGTTCATGGTTTTTTGGAAAAATCAAGTTAACTTACAAGAGAGGATGGCGAATTTCAGAAACCCATGAGCCCCAATGCCTTTGTCGGACACCTCGATATCGGTGTTGTGGTCTAGCCATTAGTGTAAAAAAAAACGTTGCTTTTGAAAGAGAGTGATGTTAAGGTGGGAGGGGAGGGCCTTTTTGTAGCTGACGGACAGGGTGAAATTCATTGTCATCCAACTTGAAAAATTGCAGGGTCCCACAACGTGTCAAGGGTCTTCTATCTTTTGTTCTTTATCTATCTAGTTACAGTTGGCTGACTGTTGAATAAATATGCAGGTGAAGGGAAATTTCAAACATCAATTCACATGGTTATGAAAAGTTTCAAAAATAATTTTATTCACCCTCATGAAATTCTAAGGTCAAATATTGAGTTAAGCAGAGCAAATTGTCGCCTAATTGAAAATATCCTGTGCATCAATGAGGCCTGAAATGATTGAGTCAATTACATCGACTGAAGAGTCTTGGACTGCCATAATTACCATACAAATCCAATATCATTTCCAATTTATCAACTCAATTTTGCCTGAAAAAGAAGGGTAGAGAAAATTTTATATTTTGTGTGGTTATAATTGAAAAGCTCATTAATGCCAGGCCAACATGCAAGTGAAAGGCACGTTGAGAGACAGTTGCAATCATTTGCTCGACTATCCTCTTTCAAAGAAGCTATTTCTGACTTGATTCAGGATTAATGAATCTACATGACACAAAAAGACACTGCAGCGGCTTCCTCACAACGGGTTTTCACTTTTTTTCATACATTTCTTGAGCAAAGTGTTGCCAACTTGATCTCTGTTTTTTGACAAACTGCCTGTTTTCTTAACCATAAAATATCCCCAAAAAGAACTATATATATATATATATATTGAACTGCATATAATAAACGTTAGAAAGGCATTCACGGAATGTAATTTGGATTAAAAAACATTTAAAAAGTTCGTCTGACTCCTGGTTTACAGCTAAACCTAACCTAAATTCTATATTGAGATTGATTTACGTCAAAAAAAAAAAAAAGAGAGAGGACCCACTTTGCAATGCAAACGCGTTAAGATAAAAAAGGGTAAATTACTTAATTGGTCACCAACATATTACTTAATTTCATTTTTAGTCATGAAACTATTATTTTTCAAAATCATACTTAACGTTAGGTTTTAGTTCTATTTTGATCATCCACTGTTAAAATTTAATGGTGAGATTATCTTATGATAACACTTCGGGTGACAAAGACGTAATATTAAGTATGATTTTGAAAAAGTAATAGTTGACTGATCAAAACAGAAACTAAGTAATACATGGGTGACAAAAATATGTAGTTTACCCAAAACAAAACCAGAACATGAGTGAGGATTAGAACATCCAATCATCTGACTATACAGCCTTCACAGGTTCTTTCCCTCCTACTCCTACAACCTCACATGCACACACAGTTCATTGAACAAGTGAGAGAATTTGTTTGGGATAAGAACAAAAAATAGAACTATGATCTCTAATGGCGGCCCAAGGTGTTAAAATTTTAAGAAATTTAATTATAATTTTGAGACATAATCTACGGCAATGTCATGTAATAATTCTAAATCGTCGGACTCGAAGAAGACTGTCTGTGAACGATAGCCGAATTCAATCAACATTAGAGAGGTCATGGGTTTCAAAAATTGTAATTAAACTTCTTTAAAAATTCTTTTAAATTATTTAAAAAATTTATTTTATCATCTTGAAATTTAAAAAAATGATGTGAGGCCGAATTTTAATTTTTAATCAATTTAAATAAAATTTTAATTTTTTAAGATCGAGTAAAATTAAACTTTTGACATGTATATATATTTATTGGAGCACTATCAATTTTTAAAAAAAAAAATCAAAATAACCTCCAAATTATTGATGTTTCGATAGTTGTCGGGATCGGGATTTGTTCGAAGAATAAATAAAATGGGTTTTAAAATTTGGATTCCTTGAACCTGCATAAGCCCATGGTTTCAGCAGGAAAGGAATGTAAAATACTCGTCGAATGGGCGAAACCAGGCCCAACCAAATCGTATGAGAAAGACTCTGAACAATTAAATGATGGTGTTTCTGATTTGGGCAATGATTTTCATTGTGCATGTGCTTAAGAATCAGGCAGCATCCATTTATATGGCTGACACGATGTGCAGAGCGGATTGATTTTTTTAAAATGGCGTCACTTTATTGCAGAATAAATAGAAACCATGTCCACAATTTAAGGTTTCACCAACTTCGGCTGGAGCTGAGAACCGGATGGGATATGGAGAAATGCTCTTAATGATCAACCCACATGCCAAAGGCTAATCGTGAGGGACTCTCATCAATGACATGACCTCGATAATTGTCCAAAAAGTGCAGAGTTTGGTTATACATCTTGAGGCTTTACCTACTGCATTTTTAGCCACCCAATGAATGACTCTCAACTACTAAATTAATGGTTTTATGCACAAATGGATTTACACTCTTCCAATTACATTACCAGTGGTCTACTACATGCTTGTTTTATTCTTCTAGATGCAGAAACTGCGGGTTTAATTCTTGTACATGCTTGTTCTTCTTAATAAGCTGACAGGAGGTAAAGAGAAGAGTGGGAAAAAGAAGAGTGTCCTAAGACGTGCACTCGCCGAAAGACAGTCTTGTCATCCACGCTAACCTTCCCCTAATCATATCATTATAATTTATATTTGCTCTTACTATTTATTTCTCTCACTATAATTGGTTGGTTGACGATATATATCATTTCACTTAAAGTAATAAAATGATATATGTTATATATCAATTAAATATATATAAAAACATTACAATGATCGTATTTATTGAACGATAATAAATTAATAATTTTCATCCAATAATGATTATTTTGAACAAAAAAAATTAAAATGTTGAAGACTAAAATGTCCTGAAAATAATAATATATAATAAAATGACTATTTGTATAAATTTTAAGGGAGTTAATTTTATCATTATGCCTAAAAATTAAAACTTTATTTAAAACGTATTAAATTTGTAAAGGGCAAATTACAAAATTGTATAATTGAACTTTCTTTTCACTCCTATTTCGGTAATTAAATTATAAAAAAATTAATTTAATCATCACACATTTAAATTATTTTTATTTTAATCACTTCATCGTTAGAAAATTAATTACAATAAGACTTGACGGACGACACCAAAATGATGTTTTAAAAAATATGCTAAAACAATATTGTTTTGAATCTATATAAAATTCAAAACTTTCCAATTTTTTTCAATTTCCCTCTTTCTTTCTTCTTTTTTCTCTTCATGTTTTTCCCACTATTTGTTCTCATCATTTGTCTTGACTGGTCACTATACTGACCATTATCGGTAGCTGTAAACGAAAAAACACCTTAGACTATACGAAAATAGTGTTGACCGTTTTGCTTTTTGTCCTTCGATCTTTATCAGTCACCATGGATCACATATTCTGAAGATTATGTTATAGTCTCTTTCATCCTCTCACAAACGCAATTATCCAAGGAACTCAAAATAATAGTTTAGTGTTGATTGATATAATATTGATTTTGAGATATCAAGTATAGATGATTTTAGTTGGTTTATGTGTGATGTGTTATCTTTTAACGGGGAGATCACTCAATCATTTCAAGGTTGATAAAGGATTGATGATGCTTTATTAGAGACAATGGTGGTTGATCTTGAAGATGGTGATGAAGAAGATCATAGACAACAAGTTGACGCTTAGTATTTGGTGGAGGAAAACCCTTCCATTGAATTTTCTAGGTAAAATGGACGGTGGAGATGGAACCATAACATTGGAAACTTTGAATATGAAAACATGTTGATACTTATATTTGGATTCAGATATTTCTATTTTTTTTTGTTAATAATTTGAATGATCGAACTCCTCAAATTTATGATTTTAAGTCGAAGTGGTTGATAGGTTAAGAAAAAAAATTAACTGACCCTATTCCCATATGTAATGGGATAAGAAGGAGGTAGGGTAGTAGGCTGCCCCCAACGCCAGGTTGAGAGTAACTTCCGTGGAATACCTCCATTATGAATTACCCTAAGTGGGACTCAATCCCACGACCACAAGATTAAGAGCCTTGCGCTCTCCCAATTGAGCTATATAGGTTAAGAAGAATTCAACAAATCACGATTTAGAATATGAAGTTGGGCACGGCAAAAAGCAATACGAATTTCTTGATTAACAATTTCATCTGCGGAACAAAAAATTGATGAAGGAACAACCATGGCTACCAAAGAAACTGAAAAAAACAATGACCAATGTGGTGTCGAAGAATGATGGTGAATGAGAGATGCTAGTAAAATTTGAAATATAACAAATTGAAATTTATGTGAAATAAATATCAAATTCAAATTTATGTGAAATAAATATCAAATTCAAATTCAAGAGATTAAAATAAGACGGTCTAAATTTTGTAAGGTTTAACGGTTTTCAATAATAGTGATAGATTTATTATCACGAACAGTGATTAAAATCTATTTTTATTTTTTTAAAAAATAATATATAATATAATATAATAGTTTTTTTCATTTACAATTATAAAACGTAATATTACATATATTTAAAAATAGAGAAAATAATCTCAGTGACAAAAAATGTCTTATAATATACGATTTTAACCAATTTTTTTGGATTTGCCAAAATGACCAACTAAATCGCAATGCGATCGATAATTCGCAACGCGATCTCCGGTATCGCAAATCAGTTTCCAGATTCGCAACGCGAACTTCGACTATCGCATTGCGATTTACATATTCGCATTGCGATAGTCCAAGTTCGCGTTGCGATAGTCAAAGTTCGCGTTGCGATTTTCCAAATTCGCGTTGCGATTTATTCCAAATTTGTTGCGATAGTCCAAGTTCGCGTTGCGATTTATTACAAATTCGTTGCGATAGTCGAAGTTCGCATTGCGATTTATTCCAAATTCGTTGCGATAGTCCAAAATCGCAACGACTGGTGGTATTGCATTTGTTTCTTAAGAATTTTTTCTAAAAAGATAGTATTCGCGCGGACGTGTCGAAGACACGTATTACCACGACCACGACCACGACCACGACCCGACCAGAGACGAGACGAGACGGACGGCGGCGGCGACGGCGCGCGAGAGTCT